CCGAGTGTTTTGAGGCTGATAAACTGCATGCAAACATTGAATGAGGTGATGAAAGGCTCCGTCCACTGTCATGGGAGCGAGGCCACCGGCCAGAATACGAGGAGCTCCGAGCCCGGACAAGACCCTCGTTTTCCTTGAGGAAACAGCATCCTTTGACGAGGAGAAACATTTTCAGCAGAGACTCTAAATGTGTTAACACAGGTTCAAAATTTTGCTTCTATTTCTGTGCGAAATGCCAGCACGGAAAGAATTTTTCTATTTGTGGGTCATCTTTGACAGACAAAAGAAACAGAATTGATGGATGTCAATAGGAGAAGCTTTGGTGGCTATTTTTTAAAAAGATGAACCTTTCACTTGGTCGGGAGCATAAAACGAAAGGGGTGCGTGTATGCAAGAGAAAGAGAGAAAGAGAGAGAGACCACAATGAGATATAAAATACAGGACATAGTTTAAATTACTGACAAAGTGGCAAACTGGTGTGTGTGTCTTGTGGTACCCTTCGGGAAGCTGTCCTGTCTTTTTTTTTTCATATCACCTGATACCTCCAGCTCCACTCGGCTCAAGGTTTGTCAGGTCAAGAGCTCAGAAGAGCAGCCGCACACAGCGCTCTCCACAATCTCTCGCCTGTGCTCGCCCAGATAGACCTCAGGCCCTGGCCCTTTCATGTCCTCTCCCAGCTCTCAGCCTGGCTCCCCCCTCAGAAAGCCAGAGTCCCAGCCGAATCAGAGGAGCTGGTGTTAGAGTCCCCGAAGAGGTCACCTCGGCCGTCCTGGGGGCACAGCTGTCATGGGTTTCAGAGCAGCAGGTAAAATGGACTGCAAGTTGAGAGCAGACCCAACAGGGGAGGAGTCAGACAGGCGCCCACACACCGTCTCTCTCTCTCACACACACACACACACACACGCACACACACGCACACACGCACAGAGCTCAACCTCAGGAACCAGAAGTTCAGAACCAGGCTCCACTGGGGCCTCCCAAATCACTTAACTTTTACATGTCCTGCAGTTTACAACACGCTTGCATGTGCACGGGAGGAAAAGTGGGGCGTAACTCCTCCATTCAGCTAACACTGAAGGAGCGGCCGTGATGGAGGGGTGTACATATTATACACGTATTATAGAATTTATATACCACATATAGTACTTTATATACAAAATACATATTACACAATATTATGTATAATATATATTTTACATATAATGTATAATGCATAACATAATAGACAATATGAATATAAAATATATTATATAATATTTTATGTAAAGCATATAATAGATATTATATATTGTTATATGTTATATATATTTATATAAATATATATTATATAACACTAGAAAATACATATTTATATCAAATACACATTTTATATGTATTATGTTATATATTTTATGAGTATATAAAATATACATTATCTGTGTATTATATGATATATTTTGTGTATATAATACACATATAGTATTACATACAATATATAATATTTTATATATAAAGTATGTATTATATATGTATTACATTATATATATTTCATGTATGTAACATAGATTATATTTATATCTAAATTCTATTGGTTCTGTCCCTCTGGAGGCTCCTAACTCACTCAGTCTCTGTGACTTCAGCCCTCTGTGACTGGGCCGGTCGCCCTGATCCCTCAGGACCCAGCCTCCCCCGTCCCAGTCCTCCCCGGTCTCCGTTCTGCCCGGTCTCCGTTCTCCCTGGTCTCCATCCTCCTGGAGCCCCGAGCCTTGGAGCCCCCGGGGCAGCGGAGCGAAGTGTGGGGCCGGTGCGGGCTCAGTAAACGCGTGTGGATGAACCATCAGGGCGCCGTCGTGAGTGGGTTTGGGGGCCTCTCCGTGGGCGGCTCCCTGCGCCTGAGCCCATCTTCCCCTCCCTCTGCTTCTCAGCGTCCCCCCGGTCCCTGAGGCCAGGCACAGACCCCATCCTCCTCGTTCCCACACCACAGACACTTCAGGAGGATGGGACTCTAGTCCCAGTCCGGGGCCTGGCCCGTTGTATCTGCTCAATAAATATTTGTTAAATCAATGCAGAATAAACGCTGGTGCAGAATCACATTTCTAAAATATTAGCCTGTCTCTCCCCCCAGGATTTCCGTTCTTTTTTTCTCTTTCCTTTCCAGACAGCAGGGAACCTCTGTGAAAGGATGAGACAGATGAAAGCGAGAAAAACGTGTCTCTTGCCCGGATGGGCAGGTTCAAAAGCTTAGGCCCTAAGAGGACCCAAAAGAACACACAGGAAGGGCAAAAGACTGGGAGGAAATCGTGAAGCGTCTCTGCTTCCAGGGCTGGAAAGTCATTTTCGGAACCAGCAGAAGGAAGAGTTGAAAAGAAAACAGTAAGATGGCAGGTGATGGTGGTTCCCAGAGAAAGTGGCTCTGTCCTGCTCGAGGCCGCTGCCAGCTCAGAGTAGCCTGGTGTGAATCAGGAAAAACCACCCCTTCTGGGCACACAGCTTGGAAACTGGAGCACAGACTCAATCCAGCCCTTATTCGCCCCCCTCGGCCAGGCGTCCATGTGGAGTGCACAACCCATACAACCGTACAGGGCAACCCTGAGCAAGCCCTGCCAAGTCCTGGAGGAGGATGCTAAAGCTCAGACAGGCCCTTGGGGTCTGAACACAGTGGGAACCTATGCGTCATGTACCAGGGGGAGCACACATCAGGGAGGGGCTCCCTAAGAAGTGGCCCCAGGCAGAAGGAGCCTTGGGCAGCCTCAGAGTTTCGAGTGCTTGAGGAGGTCAATTACGGAAGACCGGGTGGGAGTGTGGCATCCCTGAGGACACGCCTGGGGACAGATGACAGCGACAACTAGGTTGCCACCCCCCTGGCCACTCAAGCTGCAACTTGGCACACGTAAGCCCCTTGGAATTAGCCAAACAAACATCCAGGAAAATTCAGAACTGCGGAGAAACCTCAAGGAGACTAAGTGTGTGCCATCCGGCCCCAAGGAGGATTCCAGACAAAAATTCAGCCGAATCACAGAAAAAAAAGAAGTTGCATTTTGTGCATATCAAAGGTATAGACTAAGATTTTTTTTTTTACCTGCTATGCTCAACAAATACTTGTTGAATGAAAGGCAAATGATCGGTACTCCCCCGCAGCCGTAGTTTTATTCTGCCCTGACTGAATTATCGGAGCACGTCTCCCTGATGAGACTGTCAGTGGCCTGAGGGCAGGGACCGCTGACTTGACTTTAAATCGTGCTCACAGACCCTGTACAAAAGCGCTCATTGCCTGGGTGTTCTGTTGAACACTAGATAAATGCATGGAATTTTTTTCCAGGCTCCAAGATCAAAAAGCTCGCTGTCTCCTGGACTCCCCTCCCCGCCTCTCCCGCCTTCTCAGATCGCATATGAATTCCCAAAGCCTGGAGCCGCACGGGAGGCGGTGGACACCTGAACGCTGTCGTCCGATGCCGCAGCAAGCCCTGATAGAGAGCCTGTTAGTGTCTGCGACACGGCCACACTCAGCAGACGAGTTTGGCCCTGTTCCGCGGCCATGCACCTTGGCATAATCGGAGGTTTGGGGCAGCGAAGTGAGGCTCATGGCAGGGGCCTGGGCCCCGGGACGGACACTCTGGGGCAGGGGGCACTAGCTTGCTTGTCCTGCGAGCCCCTGGAGATTTATGAGGCTGAGGATTTGGGGCTTCTCAGAGATAGTGCCCTGAGTCTTGGGCGCTATTCATGGCCCCCACGGCTTGGGCACCCGGACCGACCCAGACCACCAGATCCTTTTCCGTGGTCCCTCTCCCTGGCCTCTGCTCCAGGATGACTCCTGGCTGCCGCGGTCCCATGCCAGTGTTTTATTCTGGGTCCTTGCAGCAAGGCTGGCACATTCCGCCCGTGTGCTCGGCCCCTGTAGATGTCGATTGTGTCTCCCGGCCTGTTTGTAAGTTACTCCCCACATGTCTGTCCTTTCTCTGTGGCCAGAAGGTCAGAGCCTGCCACCAGCTGGCCACCTAGCTGTCTCCCCAGCTGGAGTCTCTACTGCCTTCCAGGCCACCGTTTGAACCCAGCTCTGCCCCTTGCTAGCTGGTATCCTTGAGCATGTTACTTAAATTGTTGTAACCACATAACCATCTCCTGTGGTTCTGGGCCCCACAGCCCCATGGTCCTGGCACTTATCGGCCCAAACGGCAAAGGTCTGTTGACTGGCTCACTCCCCACCAGACAAGACCCTCCCCTCCACTCCTCGGGCCCAGCACTGTCTGTGCCACTGAGCAGTGGCCTGAGGAAGGCGGGGTCCATCCCTCTCTCCCTCGTGCCCCTCCCCCCTCCCACTTCTCCCCCTGCTTCCTCCTCCCCCCCCCCCCCCCCCCACCCCCCACATCCTCCCCACAGGCTCTCTCACACAATCCGGCGTCTGCCTCCCCACCGTCTCCCTGTCGGAGCCCCCTTCACTTGCTTTCGGGGGTGGAAATCACCAGGCAGACACTGCAATATTGTAGGGTCTTTTATTCAAACCAGGTGAGTCACTCCATTACCTGAGAAGGCACACTCATGTTCCAGACACCCGACACCTCTCCTGGGCTGGGCATGGCTGTCCCCTCCCCATCCAGACCTCCTTCTCATTGCAAAAGGCCATTCTGCTGTCCCCAGGGGGCACGGGGATGGATTGGAGAATTACTGTGGCTGGGGCCTGGGTTTGGGGTTCAAGGTGAGGGTGCAGGTGTGGGCCAGTTTGAAGGCATTCGGTTGGAGTTTAGGGGAGAGGAGAATTAAGTATGACCCAAACCCTGCTGGCCACAGTGAGCAAAGGACCACGCTGCTCCTGGTTCCCAAGGGGATGCCCCTCCTCCGGAGCCCGGTCCCCAGGCAAGCGGAGCCATCCTGGGCATCCCACGTGCTCAGCCCTCCGCCTCTCCTACCCACCGCTCGTCAGCAAAGCAGACACTCGGAAGCAAGCTCTACATGGCTACGTGAGGTCGCCCTGCCGCCCCCGGGTTCTGGGCCCACGGGGGTCGGGGGGGGGGGCCGTCAGGAGCTTAGCCCTGGAAGCCCAGCTCCTTGTACTTGGCCGCGATGTCGTTCCGGAACAGCTCCAGGGCCTTTGTCATGGCGCCCTGGGCATCAGCGCCAAAGTCCCCGGGATGCTTGCTGTGCAGAACGTGGATGATGGCATCTGAGATGAACTGTGGGGACAAGGACAAGAGGGGCACCGGTCATGGGGCTTGATCACCATGGGTTAACTCCTTTAATCCTCACGACCTCGTGAGACAGGTGCAGATGGGGAAACTGAGGCCCATCTTGGTACAGATGAGGAAGGTTAAGCCGTGTGCCCGAGGTCACGCAGACAGGTGGGCTGGCTCACCCACTGCCCTCCTCAGCTGCTGCTCTAAACGAGGACCTAGTACAGCCCGGCACGAGCTCAGGGCACAGCCGCCACGGGCAGCGGAAAGGAAGAGAATGTCCCATTCCGCGGTTTTATCCAGGATTTTTCGACCAGGAAATCTAGAAAGAAACTATTTCCATGTGTGTGTACTTGATTTTTGCATTTAATGGTTTAGTATGGTTCGTGCTTTAAACAGCCTAATTAGGAGTTAGGGGAGCAGAGCATCATAGCTTCTGTGCCAAGCACAGAGTGGACGCTCAGAAATATCAGTGGGAGGGGAGGTGAGAGGGGAAGAGGAAAGGGACGAGGCCTCGGGCTTGCCCCCGGGACAATAACGTCTGTCCTCGGCCCCACCAGCGCAGTTTGCCCTTACATGCCCAATTTCACTCCCAGGAAAACGGAGACAGGAATAGCCACGACATGGGGCTGCCTTAGAGACCGAAAGAGCTCGTGGATGTAACAAGCTGCTGGGGTTTTTTCAACGGTGCATCAGGATTCGATGCCAACCACATGCCTGGCCAGTGGGCCAGGTGGTGACATTTTGCAGAGGCCCAGATGGGAAAGCAGCCAGACTGAGGTCATGTTACAAGTGGACGGCAGAGCTGGCAGTGCACCCAGGGGACTGTGGGCAAATGTCGGCCAGAGCCAGGGACAGAGGTTGTGACTGCACCGCGGCTGGGTTTCCCATTTTCTCAGGGCGCCTGGGGTTCAAGGGACTGAAGGCAGGTTGGGGGGCCTGTGCTGAGGGAGCCATCAGGAAGCACAAGTGTCGACACCCAGGAAACACCACTGGGCTCAGAGACAGGCACAGCTCCACGAACACCCACCTTCGGGCACCGATGTGGACATGTGCTTAAGATGACCTATAATTTCGCAAATGCTACAAAACCAGGTGGGGGCGCGGGGTGCCTGCCCTTGGGGAACCTGGGAGGCCCGACCCCAGTGTGGGACTCCACCTGTCAGACGGGGCTTCGAGGACCACATCAGGCCCCCCGCTCAGCTGTCCTGAGCCTACGGCAGAGCCACTAGTCCCTTGAAAACTGTGGGAAGAGGCAGCTGGGTGACCGAGAAGAGTCGCCCTTAGCCCCAGCCCCCGGGGCCCCTCACCCCCAGGGGAGAAGGAGCAATTTTTTATAAAGGGCACGGGAGGCGGTTCCACAGCGAGGGGCGAGCAGGCATGGCTCGGTCTTAAGGTTTTGCAAGGATTTGACAGTAAATTACACTTGTTCTGTTAAAGCTGGGTGCTCGTCCACTAGCTGGTAGTGCCACCTCAGCAACATCGTTCTCTCTTGCTGAGCCTCAGATTCCCCATCCCTAGAGAGGGGACCGGTCACTCAGATTGTGTGGTGAGCCAGTCGCATGCCCCTGGGGTTCAGAAATGGGGGTGAGCCAGCGTCTGCCCTTGAGGAGCTGCATCCCAGCCGGAAGACAGCTGGGCACAGAGATAAATTACAGACAGCCGGCGGGCGCCACGACGGGAACGAGGACAAAGTGCCTCGGTGGGGGGAGGGCTGGCGGGGAGCAGCTGGTGGCCCCGGGGCCTGGGCTGGAACAGAGGAGGTGCCTTCTGAGCTGGGCCTTGAGGGATGAAGGGGAATTTACCAAGAGAGGACTAGGAGGGCAGGGACCGGTGCATGCAGAATTTCTGAGGCAGTACTGGCTCCTCGCATCTGTGATGCTGAGTGGGACGGGGGGACGTGCAAGACTGTGTGTGTGTGATGGGGGCGCGGGTGCAGGGAGTAAGACAGAAGGGGCTGGGGGGTTGTGGTTGATGGGAGATATTGTGCTACAGGGATTAAGAATTTGGGTTCCGGAGTGCCGTCAATGGGACCGTACCTTCTGGCTTATTAAATGGGTGACCTTGGGCAAGTTATTTAACCTCTCTGAGCCCTCAGTTTCCAAATCTGTAAAATGGGGGTGAGAAGGGTACCTGCCTGGGGCAGAGACCGCTAACTGTCTGCCCAATGTCTATTTTCTCCTTCTTTCTCGGTAACCGAACACTAGTTGTATTTGGAGTGGCAATAGACCGCATTTCCCAGTTTCCTGTGCAGATAGGGGTGGTCTTGTAACTAACTTCTGGCCAATGAGATGTAAACAAAATTGTTGGATGAGATTTCTGGGACTCCTTAAACTCCTTAAGAGAGAGCTTTCCCCTCTTCCTCCGCTGCCTGTTTGGAAGATGGACCAGATGGCTGGAGCTTTAGCAGCCATCTTGGACCATGCGTCAACTTTGAGGATGGACACCACATGTCAAGGACATGGCAGAACAGAAAATTGCTTGTGTCCCTGGGGGTCCCACACCAGCTCGGGACTCCCTACCTCTGAACTCGTGTGAGAGGAAAAGAAGACACTGAACACAATTCCTAACCTCATGGGTAGTTGTGAGAATTCCATGTGGTGACTCAGGCAAATGCTGTCACCATTGTCCTTATCCTCATTGCTGCACCAGCGTGCCTGCTGTGTCCCTCAGACCCTTAGTGCTCCCCGTCCCCACATCCCCTCCTCCACTAGGACACCTGAGTTTCCGTCTCTTCATCTGTAAAGATACTGAAAGCAATAGAACCATTCTGCTGGCCACCCTCCGCCCGGAACTGAGCCCGGCAGCTGATTTCCTGCCACCTGAACTGCTGCCCGTCTCAGACTCCCGTTGCACGGAGGTTAGGATCTAGGGGCTGGAGCAGTTGAGACCTAGTTCGAATCCTGGCTCTGCCATTTGCTCTCTCTGTGACCACGGACAAACTACTTAACCGCTCTGTGCCTCAGTTTCCCCGTCCATCAAATGGGTGTGATAATGATACCTACCTAGGGAGAGGATGCAAGTTGTGCACCCATATCCACTCTCCCCCTTCTTCCTTGGTAAGGAGACACCAATTTGGGGGAGAGATATGTTTCCTCTCAGTGACCCCAAGAAGAAGGCAAAGCTGCTGACAGCCCACTTTACAGGAAGGGAACTGGGTCACAGAGAGGAGCGACCTAGGTCACCCAGCAAGTTGGTGGCTAAGCTGGGACTCGAACCCAAATCTCCTCCCTCCGAGGCCTGTCCTTCCAGGCCCCCGCCCGCCCCGGCCCTGCCTCCCACCTCCAGGTACTTGATGGGGATCTTGTGCTTGGTGGCGTGTGACTGGGCCAGCGGCTTCAGCTCCGCCTCATGGTGGCCCTTCTTCTTGAGGATGCCGCCCAGGGCGGTGAGCACCACAGTGCCGTGCTTCTTCAGGTCCTCGGAGGCCTTCATCTCGGCCTCTGTCTTCAGATGCTTGAACTTGTCAAACTTCTCCAGGGTCTCAGGGTGGCCGGTAAAGAGCCTGTGGGCACAAGGAGGGCTGGAGTCAGATGCAGGGACGTGCGGTGGGGTCTGGAGGCGACCGGACTCGAGTTCAATCCCCCATTCCCAGCTGTGTGACCTTGGGCAATTCACTTCCCCTCTCTGTGCCTCCGCTTCCTCGTCCAAGGAGTGGGGATGACCAGTCCCTGCCTTTGGAGGCTGTGAGGATTAAGTGAGGTGGTGTATGCTGAGTGCCAGCCCACCGGCAGGTGGTAGAACGCTGGCTAGTATTATTCTTGTCATCAGCATCATCACCTTCCTCTTTTCACTCTTACTGTGAGAGGCAGGAAGGAAAGACGTCTCTGCATTGTGCCCTGGCCTCACCCCCACTTTCTGTACATTATTTGGACAGTAGGGGACAGTGGCCTTGAGGATGGAGCAGGGGAGGGGAGAGCATAGGAGCTGAAGGACCCTGGATTTGTTGAGCACCTACTGTGTGCCAGGCTCTGCTCCTGCACTTCCCTGTAGGGTCATATTCCCATTTCACAGACGAGGGAACAGAGGCTCGTAGGTATGATGTCCTAGCTCTGTATTACAGGGCTGATGTGCAGAAGAGCCAGACTGAGATCAGGTCCATGCCAGGGACCATGTCTGCAGCTTCCTGCCCAGGAATCATCCTTTGGCTGCTTACATGCTCCCAGCGACAGGAGGCTCACTACTCCCTGTGGGAGCCATTTCGCTCCAGAGCAGCTCTCTGGCTCAGAAAGTCTTGCTTATTTTGAGCACACACTCTGACTCCCTGCACCTCCCAGCCCCACTCGGTACAGAGGGTGAGGGGCCCTGGTGGGAGCCGCCCGCCAAAGATCAGGCCCCCGCTCCTGCCAGGGACCCAGTGAGCTGGCCGAAGACGGACTCTGCCCGCAAGCCTGAGCGGCCACCTCCAGCCTTGGACCTCATCTCTCCTGCTGGGTGTTGGTTACAGGGGGTCCTGGGAGGGAGGGATCCCCATCTCACTCGTGGGCAAACAGAGGACCACAGAGGGAGGTGACCAGCCCAGGGTCACACGGCCGGTTGGTGGCAGAGCCCAGACCCAAACTCAAGATTGGATGGGTCCATAACTCACGCTCTCTCCCTTGGGTCGCACCCTGAAATGTTCGCAGGACTGACCCCGTCTACCCGAGGTTTCTCTCCTTCTGTCTAGGGCCTCGGGAGGTCCCTCTCCTGCAGCTCCTGGCCTTTGCCACACCCTTAAACGGACTGGGGACGCGCTCCAGTTTGCGTAAGTGTCTCGCAGCGCACAGCCACACTTGTGTGCATGTGCACTCAGACTCATACACAAGCACGCGCCAAGCAGCCCGGACAGGGAGCACTCCTTCCCCAGGAGCACGTCCATCCCGCTTCCCAGCACACCCAGGCCTGTCCACAGCCACGTCCAATGTCACCACCTTGCCCGGGGCCCCAGCCAAGCCTCGTGTGTCACTGACAGCTCCTCACCGGCACCTCCACCCAAGGGTCCCTGAGCTCCTGACTATTATTATCTGGTGACAATGATCCTCAAACTCCTGCCTGACAGCTCTGAGACCTAGCACCCACAGGCAAAGGCCTGAGGTTGGGACGCTGAAGGAGACTATCTTAGGCAGTAGAGAGCCAAGGACCTGGGACCCCAGGGAGCCAGGGATCTCAGACATTTTGGGAGCACCTCAGATGTCTGGGGAAAGAACATGGGACTGAGAATTACAGAAGCTGAGTTCTGGCCCCAGCTCTGTCTCCAATGTGCTGTGTGACATTGAAGAAGTTGCTCAGCCTCTCTGGGGCTCAGCCTCTCTGGTTCACCCATCTCTAAACCAAAAGGGTTGGTCCAGCTGATTTCTCAGCCTCGAGATTCTAAGGCTTGACCTCCGCCTCATCTGCCATTCTCACAACAGTCAGCCAGAGAAGGGCCCAGACTTACTTTAAACAGTACAGGAAAACCTGGCTAATTAGTGCCCAGCAGACCATTCTGGTGCCACACGGCTGCCTCCCTTGCTTGGTCTCAAGTCCTGCAGCTGGGAGGCCCAGGGCAGCCCCAGAAGGCCACACCCAGATTCACCTATAGCAGCCACCGGAAAAAGAGCAGACAAAGCCCCTCCCGCTGTGGAAATGGCGGTGGGGTTTCTCCAGTGTTCCAGAACGCTCACTTACCTGGTGTTTTCCTCCTCTATCCTTTTGTCAACCTGTCTAGTTTATCACAGGTCTGCAGGCAAGTCTGAGAGAGAGGAGGCCATTTCCCAGCTGTCCTCTGACCTGAGGCCCAATTGGACGCCCACACAGAAGACTGGGGACTCTTGGACCTGTAAAAGTCCTTTTCTGCTCTAGAACCAAAGAACCAGAGGGAAGGTGGAGCTCATCTCTAATGTGCCAAGATGGTGGGGCAACAGAGCACAGCGGCCAAGAGCAGGGATGCTGGCCCCAAGCTGTGTGGATTTGAATTCCAGCCCTGTGACTTTGGGCAAGTTACTTAACCTCTCTTAAATGTGGTGATAATAAAATCTATCTCATAAGATTGTTATGAGGCTTAAATGAGATAATTTATGTGAAACACTTAACACAGGGACTGGCAATCAATGTGTGCTGCATAAATATTTGCTGTCCTCCTCCACTTCCTCCTCATCTCTACCACCATAATCACCATCATCACCATCACCACCTCCATTACCTCCATTATCATCATCACTTCCATCGTCATCTCCATCACCACCTCCATCACTTCCCTCACTATCACCACCTCCATCACTTCCATCATCATCTCCATCATCATCATCACTTCCATCATCATCTCCATCACCACTTCCATTATTATCTCCACCACTTCCCTCACTATCACCACCTCCATCACCTCCGTCATCACCTCCATCACCACCTCCATCACTTCCATCATCACCTCTATCACCTCCATCACCTCCGTCATCACCTCCATCATCATCACCATCATCTCCAGCAGCAGCAGCCGAACTGTTAAGATGGGGAGTTTTCAGCTCTGCCTGCAGCTGCCATTGGCTGGCTGAGACTCTTGGCCATGGTTGCTCTTTGTAACGTGAGAAGTATTGGCCACCAGCAGTGATTTTCAAACTTCTCATGGCCTTGAAATCCTTTGTTCAAATGCAGAAGTAAATAAAGCAGACAAGCTTTGGGCAGAAGGAAAGACAGGGGCCCGGAGCGACCTCAGCAGCCCCTCCCACCCGAACCCCCGCTCCTGGCACCAGAGTCTCCAAGTGACCTTGCAGCTTTGATGTTCTAGCACTTTATGATCACATCCTGGCAGTGAAGCCCTCGGCGTCTTATTAACAGACTCGGCTGGACCCAGTTTGCCCTCTTTGATCACCAGAGGCGTGGGAGCAATGACCTTCCCAAGGTCAGTAAGGGAGCCCGGGTCCAGCATCTAGAACAGAACAGGAGGCCAGCTCCCAGGGGCATTTGCACTTAGCATCCCCGCCCCGGCCCCAGCCAGGGAGGCCACCCTTGCCATACCCCAAACACAGCGATGTCTCTGCGTGTCCTACAGCCTAGGATGTGACAGTGCCTTGGGCTCTCTGGGCCTTCCAGGGCCAGCCATCTCAGGATCAGATCTCCCCACTGGCCCCTGGGCCCTGGCGGGTCTCTCTGATCCACCCTGGGAAGGGAGGAAGTGTCTCCCCTGATGACACAATACCCCAAGCCCCCTTCAAGACGTCCAAGTCACTGCCTTAGGGCTGGCAGCCCCCAGATCACCTTGGAAAGACTTCTGCTCTACAGACCAGCCCGCCACCTCTCCAACAGCAGGGGAGGGTCACGGACTCGGGGAACACCAGGGAGCAGGAGCAGGAGGGGAGCTCAGACACCACGCTTCATTCAGCCAAAAGGAAAATGGCACCCAGAGAGGAGCAGTGACTTGTCTAAGGTCACACAGCAAATTGGTGGCTGAGGAGTTGATGTCAACTTGGGGGGAGCCTTGTCCAATCAAACAGGACCTGTTGCCGCCCCAGCAGCCAGCTGACAGGGGCAGGAGGAGAAGGACATAAGGGAACACTGCAAGAGGCCAGTCAGAGTCAACAGAGACCTTGACTGTCCTTCAAGTGTTTCTGGCGTGGGTCACTAAGGGCTGGAACTTCAGATGACAGAGCTCACAGGACTGGCCGTGCTCTCCAGATGTGGGAGCTTGACATGGGTGTAGCCCAAGGGAGGCATCTGAGTGGGAGAGGAAAACCTGCTCTGACTCGTAGAGAAGGAGAAATTCATCTGCAAGTTAGAGCGCCAAGGACAATCGGTTCATTCGAGGCAACCCGGGCGCACCTCCACCGGGTGCGGAAATGTTCCTGACATCCCGTCGGATACCGACCTGCGCCAGCCCAGAGCATGAGGGAGGGACCAGGAGAGGAGAGGAGTCCGTTACCATTTGGGGTGGAGGGCAGTGGGGAAATAAGGCTCCATTTACAAGCCACAAGCCATCCTCTGTCTATAGAACTCGGAATTTTGTTTTGTTTTTTTCCAGGAGCCCCTGGTTCTAGAACGCAAGATGTGCTTGGAGACCACACCCTTCTGAGCTCTCAAATTCAAGACATACACAGCGTCCGAAGTCGCTGATAGGCTTCTGTCTTGTTTTCTATTTATAACTCTTTCAGTGTCCCTAGCCTGGGCTTCATCTATAACAGTTAGTAAGGTTTTCTAGAACTCCGTATATGCCAGCAACAGGGCTGGGCCCCTTACATACATCATCTTACTTAATTCTCACTTTCTCTCTATCATGGAGATATTAGGAATTTCCCCCATTGTGTAAGAGAAGAAATTGAGGCTCAGAGAGGTTGTGTACCTTCCCAAAGGTCACCCAGCTGCTCCATGGCAGAGCCAGGTCTAAAGCTACACGTCTTGTCTTGAAGGCATGTCTTTGCCTGGACACCTTATAGACTTTAATGGACATGTGACTCTGGGGACGTCCTTCTCCTCTCAGGTCCTTTGTGTCCTCATGCATTAGGTGAGGTGGCTGGACAAGATCTCTCCGGGCCCTTGTTGACTCTAGGATTCTAGGATTCCTCTAGGCATCCAGGGTTGATCATTAAGCCTCTCCCAGCTGCTGACAGAGGTGTGAGATGGATCCCTTTTCCTCCTCTGACTCCAATCCCTGACACTTAGAAGCAAGGAGGGGTTTTAACAAACTCTGCTAATGCAGCCGGCTGGTCAACCCGAGGGTGCATGGTCCACCTTGCCGGCAGACACCCCTGATCTTTGGGAGGAAGATGACACGGACAGCTGGATTGCTTCCTTTTACCTGATCAGCACCTCCTGCCCATGGCCCGCGATGTCAGCCTCCACCTTCCCCCAGACGTTCAGCACCTGCTGCCACTCCCCGTCGCTGAGCCCCATGGTGTGGCCTGAAGACGACAAAAGAGAGCAAGTGCAGGCTGACGGGGTGTCCTGGCCCTGACAGCTGGGGTTTGAGGCTGCCTGGCCCTAAAGGGGTTTTATACCTTCCCGGATGCTTGACATAGATCACTTGACAGCTGGCTCACTCCCCGAACCCCTCCCCTGCCCCCCGTCGCTTCAGGCAGGGGTCTAATCTCTTCCTTTCTCTAGCCCTCACATGGGAGCTATTTTGGGGCAGGTGTCATTGGGGGGAGGTAGGACGCCGCAGGGGGGTGGCTGTGTGTGTGGAAAGAGTAGGGAGGAGGTTGGGCCACCCGCTGGACTCTCGGAGGCCAGCAGAAAGGGCACCACCCAGGCCGACGCCAGCAGCCCGAAACCCAACCCTCCCTGCTGTCAGCCACCCCCAGAGGAATTGTCATGTTCCCAAGCTTGGGCAGCTGGCCCTGGAACGGTCCTGGCCCTTAGCGGTCTCCCCGTCCACATTCTGCCCACTTTGCCCGAAGGCCCCTCACCCAGCCAGGAGTGGCAAGAAGGAGTCTAGCTGGCTTTCTGCGTATAGCTGGGCAACCCAGGCAGATCCGCAACCTTTTGGAGTCTGAGTTTTCCCACTCCATCCAGAAAACTCCTAGCTTCGTGGCCTTGCTCAAATATTTCCCTCTGAAAAGTTTTGCTTGACCTACTCCCCTCAAGGCACAATTGATTCTTTCCTCCTTTATTTGCATGTGCTCCTGGTGTATTTCTTCCCTTATTGCGTCATATTTCTTTGCCTGCTCCTCCGTTGGTATAACAGCAGCCAATACTCACAGAGACCTTGCTGGGTGCCAGCCCGTATTCCCAGCACTTCACAGCGGGTAACCCGTTTAATCCCCCAACAGCCCGATAGGACAGGTGTTGACCTTATCCCATAGAATTGACGGGAAGGTAGGGAGACTTGCCATGCCACAGCTACTTGACGGAAGAGCTGGGACTTGAACCAGAAAGTCAGGCCTCTGAGTCCGTGCTCCTGAACACCTTATTTTGATCTTCATGTGGGCAGGGGCTCTGTTTTATTCATCTCTGTGTCTCTTGGACCTTGCACAGTGCCCTGTACAAAGTTTGAACTGAATAAATGTTCACTGAATAAAAAGATGGATGGCCTTGCAAGGAAGGCAAGGGGAGGATGATTGCCCTTATTTTTAAAAAATTTTCATTGAGTTAATGATAGTTTACAATCTTGTGAAATTTCAGTTGTACCTTATTGTCTGTCAGTCGTGTTGTAGGTGCACCACTTCACCCTTTGTGCCCACCCCCACCCCACCTTTCCCCTGGTAGCCACTAATCTGTTCTCTTTGTCTACATTTTTAAATTCCTCGTATGAGTGGAGTCATACAGAGATTGTCCTTCTCTATCCGGATTATTTCACGTAACATAATTCCCTCAAGGTCCATCCATGTTATTGCAACTGGGATGATTTTGTTCTGTTTTGCAGCTGAGTAGTATTCCATTGTATATGTATACCACATCTTCTTTATCCATTCATCTGTTGATGGGCACTTAGGTTGCTTCCACGTCTTGTCTATTGTAAATAATGCTGCAATGAACATTGGTGTGCACAGGACTTTTGGGATTGCTGACTTCAAGCTCTTTGGATAAATACCCAGTAGTGGGATAGCTGGGTCATAAGGTATTTCTATTTTTAATTTTTTGAGGAATCTCCATAGTGTTTTCCATAGTGGCTGCACCAGTTTGCGTTCCCACCAGCAGTGTATGAGGGTTCCTTTTTCTCCACAACCTCTCCAACATTTGTTACTATTAGTTTTAGATATTTTTGTCATTCTAACGGGTGTAAGGTGATATCTTAGTGTAGTTTTGACTTGCATTTCCCTGATGATCAGCGATGATGAGCATCTTTTCATGTGCCTATTGGCCATCCTTATATCTTCTTTGGAGAAATGTCTGTTCATGTCTCCTGCCCATTTTTTGATTGGTTTGTTTGATTTTTTGTTGTTGAGTTGTGTGAGTTCTTTATATATTACGGAGATTAACCCTTTGTTGGATATATGACTTGCAAATATTTTTTCCCAGTTAGTGGGTTGTTTTTTTGTTTCAATCCTGTTTTCATTTGCCTTGAAGAAGCTCTTTAGTCTGATGAAGTCCCATTTGTTTATTCTTTCTACTTTTTCCCTTCTCTGAGAAGACATGGTGTCCAAAAAGACCCTTTTAATACTGATGTCAAAGAGTGTACTGCCTACGTTTTCTTCTAGAAGCCTTATGATTTAAGGTCTTACCTTTAGGTCTTTGATCCATTTTGAGTTTATTTTGGTGAATGGCAAGAAAGAATTGATTGCCCTTATTTTACATCCATTCATCACCCATCCATCCATCCTCCAACCTACCTACCCACCCATCTATCCATCTATCTGTTATCCATCCATCCACCCACCCACCCATCATCCATCCACCTATCACCTACCCATCACCCATCCATCATCCAATCACCTATCACCCATCCACCCACCCATCATCCATCATCCATCCATTATCCATCCACTCACCCATCCACCTGTCCATCCACTCATCCACCCATCACCTGTCCATCCATCCATCATCCAAACATCCATTCATCCAACACACAGTTATAAGAGTACCTAATGTGTGCCAGAAACTGTGCTACATGCTGAGGACAACAACACCAAGTAAAACACAACCCTGTATTTAAGAAACGCACAGTCTCCTTGGGGAGATAAGCAAGAGGGATAAAGTTACAATAATTTATTTAGTGCCAGGATCAAGGTATATGCAGGCCCTTCCTTCCATCCACACAGGACTTTGCAGTCTACAGCGTGCCTCCTTGGGCAGGATTACATCTTCACAACACCCCTGTGAGGAGGGAGCATCACCCCATTTCACAGCTGTGGATGATGAGACCCAGAAAGGATCAGCAGCTGCCCTGGCCCTCCTGGGTCTTTGCGGAAGATGTCACTTATGACTCCCCCACGCATACTGCCCTGCCCCAGTGCCTGCTGAGCACGAGGCGTAGGGGTCATTTCTCCCCGCAACCTGCTGCTAGTCACAGCTGATTGGACCAGGGCTGGCACCTGAGCTGAGGCAGCTAACAGCAGGGCTCTGTCCGGGCCAATCAGATCCCCTCTTCCAAATGTGAACGGGGTTGGGGGGTGGTGCCTGGCCTGGTGACATAGTGGTTGGGTTCATGCCCTCCGTTTTGGCGGTCTGGGGTTCATGGGTTTGGATTCTGGGTGCAGACCTAGCCTACTGGGCAAGTCACGCTGTGGTGGCATCCCACATAAGAAATAGAGGAAAATTGAAACAGATGTTAGCTCAGGGCCAATCTTCCTCACCAAAAAAAAAGTGAACAGGGACATTTGGTGAGAATTGGCCAGCTAGTAGAAATGTAGAGTCAAAGAGAGTCCATATCAAGGTCAGCACTGGGTAAGCAGCCCAAACTGAGAGCTCCCCAGTGCCACCTTGGGTCTAGAATGCCCTCCGTTCTGATTTTGGTAAAGCCCGCCCCAATTACTGTTCAAGGATGACCCTTACCTGCCGCTTCCCTTATGACCTCTTGTGCATCCTTTCAGTGTGTCCTGTTTATTGAATCGGCTGACTCCTAATGACCATAAGGGGCAGAGGCCCACAGGGGGCCCCTTCCTGACAGTGGGCTCCAGGAGTCATGGACGAGGCTCCACGTTAACCCAGTAAGCCGGGCCGCTCAGCCTCAGAGCCCATCCAGCTTTAACGGTGGAGCCTGCGTAGCTAAAAATGCCATAACGATTTCCAGGGGGCTATCATTCCTTCCCTCCTTCCTTCATTCAACAGCCCGGTACCGAGGGTCGGCTCTGTGCCAGGCCCAGGGTCACAGGGAGAGGCAACTCACGGCCTCAGCAGCTTCTGCCCCTGCTTCTGGTCACTGGCTGGAGGGCAAGCCCAGCGGTGTGGGTGGGGAGGGCGGAAGGAGATGGGGGTAGCAGTCGGCTGCCCCAGGCCGGGCCCGGCCCCTGGACACATCGCCGCTTACCCCCGGAAACATCAGCACCAGTAGGTCCTGCTTTATGTCCACAGCGCTGGCAACGCCGTTTTCCAACGCGCTCCTGCCTGTGCCTCCTGGGACCCTCAGACCAACCTGAGGGGCCACAGGGTGGGGCTGCTTTTTACTCCTCTGGGCTGTAAGGAAACGAAGACTTGGAGAGGTCACACCCCCGCCACCCAGGGCTGGTAATCGGCGGAGCTGGAACCCAAACCCGCATCCCCAGCTCTTCTCCCGTCTCCAGGCTCCCAAGTTGTTGGACACAGCCTGAGTGTTTAAAACCTCATCAGCTCATTCCTGATGCGAAAGTGTTTAATATGAAGCTGTCGCCCTTGGCAGGTGCCCCATTAACAGGCAGGCTCGTGGAGACCTGTGGCTTTGAAGTTGATGAAACTTTTAAGTTTTACCATTTAAGCTAATGGGAGGAAACTGCCGTCTGTTTGTACTTACACATCTCTACAACAGAGCTGGTGGTACCCAACCGTTGCCATGGCTACCTGGAGTCACCAGCTCTGTTTGGGGGCTATAATTATCCCTGTGACAGCCTTCAAATGGCCGGCACGGGGAAGCTGGGGATGCACGAAATAGGAAAACCAGGTTGCCTTTGCGTGCTGACCGTCTGCAGCCTTGCACTCTCGTGTCACATACATGCGCACACACGCACACCCATACCTGTGGGCTAGTTTGACACCCAATGGGCAGAACTGCATCCCACCAAGTGGGACGTGCTCCCTCCTCTTTTCCCTCTCACATCACAGAATCCTGTGAAGGCGAGAACCTGAGACTGGTAGAACCGTCCTCAAGTCCTGAGATTCTGGAGTCTTGAGATCCCAGAATTCCAACCCTCGGTGCCGGAGTCTCTGACTTTCAGCCCTCTGGGAACTTGGGTTCTAGGTTCCAGAATGATAGAAAGCTAGAGATAGAGAAGACTAGAATGATGGGGCCCCAGTGTCTCGAAGCTAGAGGAGGCCTTCAGGGG